TTTTCCAGAGTGATCCTGTCATTGAGATAATCAGGGATGTTCTTGCACTGGATGGCCGTGAATTCAGCGAGAGACAAGCCCCCAAGACTGTCTGTGCTCTCGCTTCTTTTGCTCTGACGCGCAGGAGTTCCTCTTAGGGAATCTGGGGGATCAGAAAATCAGCATCAGACACAGTGCTGTCAACAGACGGGGCAACAACTGTGCAAAAACAATGGAGGTTTTCACGGGTTAAGACCTCCTAGCATCCCTATGGCAGGTCTGGATCCCTAACTTTTACAGGGAAGGTCAAGTTAACGCCCAGGGAAGCTGAGAACCTGTCCGCAAGGTTTACTCTGTGTTGTTTTTAGAGCTCACCTTCTTTTTTCTCTCTACCTTCAGTTTCTTCCTCTTTATTCACCCCTGGAAGCCTGGAAAGCGCCAAGACAGACTGACACCCTCCTGGCACCGCTGTGTGGTCGCTGTCCTCAGACTTGACAGACCCAATCTCCTTTTTAGGTTCCTTGTTGCCCAGGCGACCTATTTCTTTATTGCTCTTCAAGACATCCTGTAAGGTCCGATCAAACAGGGTGCCACCCCGGGGTCGGTTCAGGCGGACGGGCCGCTTATCTGGAGGGTGGTCACCCCGGGACAGAGGGTCCGAGTCTTCCGCCGTGTCCCGGTCGTGTCTCCTCGGGGAGCGATCCTGGTCCTCCTTCCTTTTCAGTCCTTTTGTGAGTCTGGGAAGCGGGTCCATCTGCGAAGCAGCTTCTTCACATCCTTGTCTGGCGCCTGTTCTACCTCCTGCCAAAGGGTCACCCAAACTCCCTGCAGACGATACAGGGAAGCTAGCGAAGCTACTATTAGAACTTCCGAACAGTGATTTAGGGGCTCTCTTTTCTTCCTCTACGTTTTGGGTTGACAAAGCAGGGGCAAAGGTAGATGACGAATTATTACTATTAACTGGTTTCGAAAAGGTGAAACTTGAATTGGTAGGTGAGCTACTTGTCACCTGAGGGAAAGAAAAAGTGGCCAGTCCCCCAGGTCCACTACTAACTGGGTGGGAAAATGTGAAAAATCCAGAAGCAACCTGGCTCTGGGTTTTCTCTGGTTCCGATTCAGCCCCCAATATTGGTTTGAACACAGCATTTTCCAGGGGTTTAAAGTTGAATTCTGTTTTCCCAAAACCAGAGCTTGCTCTTTCTCCAGCTTCTGGTCCAAAATGAGAAGTACTTGGGAAAACCCCAAGGTTGGTGGCTGATTTAAAACTAAATCCAGAGTTTCCAGGCACAGATGAACTTGAAGGCCCAGAGGCAGTTACAAAGGTCGAAGTGTGCTCAAGTCCAGAAAAGAGGCCAACATTTGATGCTTGGGAAAATCCTACTGTAGGCGCTGCAGAAGAATGACTTACTCCAGAAGATGCTGGGAAGCTAGACACCTGTGAAAATCCTGAGCTTTGCCCAGATAATGTATTGGTTTGTCCAAAAACAGAAGGCTGACCAAATCGGAAGGACGGCTTAGCATGAAATGCCCCTAAGGAAGTACTGGACAAGGGTGAAAACCCACTAGGCTGCTGCCCACTGAAAGGATTAGAAGGGTTCATCTTCTAGTCCAGTTACCGAAAGGTAACAGGCACTCTGTGTGCAAAATGAGTCCTCTTCCTTAAATAGTTTGTTGCGCTAGGGAGCGCCCCTTCATCTTCACAACAAGCTGAAAGACAAAAATTCATATCATCCACCACAGCTGCGTCCTGCTAGAAGACTAAGTTAAACAAAAAAACCCAGATGCCATACTTTAAGGATAATTACTTAGAAAAAGGACAAAGGAAAGGGCTAAGTATTATTTTCCCAGAGGCCTTGTTACAACCCATTGCTGTCAAGTCGATTCTGACTCATAGCAACCCTATAGGAGAGAAAAGAACTGCCCTATAGAGTTTCCAAGGATCCCCTGGTGGATTCACGCTGCCGACCTTTTGGTTAGCAGCTGTGGCTCTTCACCACTACACCACCAGGTTTCTGCCTTCGTTATGGAGGATTAAAATGGGACCCTTTAAGATTTAAAAAAAAAAGAATTCACATCATTTGGCTGCCGACCTTTCGGTTAGCAGCTGTGCCTCTTAACCACTACACCACCAGGGTTTCTGCCTTCGTTATGGAGGATTAAAAACGGGACCCTTTAAGATTTAAAACAAAAAAAGAATTCAAATCATTTGGCTGCCGACCTTTTGGTTAGCAGCTGTGCCTCTTAACCACTACACCACCAGGGTTTCTGCCTTTGTTATGGAGGATTAAAATGGCACCCTTTTAAAAAAAAAAGAAAAGAATGCAAATCATTCGACTCTGTTGGTAAACTTACAGAAAACCCCAACGACCCTAACACCATGATCGCCGTTACGCTTCCCAACCTAAAGACAGCCTTCTCCCGACTTACCCAATCGCCCTGATCAAAGCATTACAATGTAACATTGTCAGAAGCCAGTGTTTCAGTGCGTCCTCCTACCTAATTTTCCTCCGAATAACCAGCGCACTCACACCTCTTTCCAGAACGGAAGACTTGGGGTTTTCCCTTTAACAGCCCGGCGGCTACACCGGGGACCGGCTCCAACGCGGCGGGCGCGCCCACGGAGAAGCGGCCCCCAGATGGGGAGGCCTCGGGGAGGGGCGGGGGTCTCACCCAGCACGTCCCGGAAAATCGCCGCAGGACGAGACCGCGCCGGCCCGGGACGCCCCGACCCGCTCCGTTAGCCACCCGCCCGACCTTCGGGCGCCGCGCTCACCGTCAGGCCCCAGGGAGGCCTAGGCCCGCTGCCGCCCTGGGCCCCCCGGGCGCCGGCTGCGGGCGCGGGCAGGGGCGTGGCCA